TTGCAGACAGCTGTTAAAACCACCATAATTCCTTCATGTTACATGGATTGGCCCTCACTGCTCTGGCAAGGATGCTGTTGTGTCTTTCTGTTCTATCTTAAACTAATGCTCTCTGCAGTCCAACTTTGCCTTCTTCCCTATTTTCTTTCTCATACCCAACATTTCTGCAGGCCAATTTCCAAATCTATATAATTTTGTTTCGCATCTGAGGGTCAACCTATGTCTCATATGTTTGGTGTCTAGCTAGCTCCCTGCTCCCAAAGACATTTCACCAGACAAGACAGGCCTCTGTTCTCTGATTTATGACATTGAGTTCACATTGTTTTCAAATTCTGAAACTTTCAAGCATTTATTTTAGACGTAAAGCCTGCTTTAGGCAGAATTCAGAGGAAATCAGCCCTCAAAGACTAGCCCCAACCTCTTTGAGCCTGTTATGGAAACTTTTGTGCAAAGCTACCAATGTTGTTTATACCTCTACTTCATGTCCCAATGTCCCCCCATTATAGTCTGAGTGAGATGGAATGAAGGAATGGTAGTAATGGGTAGACGACCAGCGACCACTGTGGCTATGTCAGCTGGATTGTGCAGCATCCAGAAATTCTGATTACATCTCCACTGTAGACAGACATTTATTCTGTGTTAGTTGTGCCCAAGCACATTCCTGTGAGAGGACAGAAGACGGATAGCATTTACAGTGACTTTTACAGTGTCTGCAGGGGGGCAGGGGTTGGGGGACATGTGGTGTGTGTGTGTACATGCATGTAAGAGAGATTTTATATTCAGTCTATCTATGCTAGTGCCTTGTCCTGACACCAGAGTTGTTGAAGCAAAAACCTGAATTTGAAGTTTACCATTTGAATCCTCATTGACTCAGTTTACAAAGCTTTGGTTTTGACTGACTGTTACCTTAACGTCTTTACACAAAATGTAGTTGGTAATAATTTTCTCCTGGGACCGGATTAAGCAACGGAAAAGGCAATAGACATGACAACTCAGGCGAGTAAGGATGCTAATTCTCAGAAGTTAACACTAATTCTGAGTGTGTCAGTCCCATGTTTGGGTTTTGTATTGCATTACTATAGCAACGGGCCAATCTGGGTGGTGGGGTTTCAGAAAGTTCATGTGGTCCTGATCTTGTGATAAGACCATACATGGTCCCAACATGATCGTGTGGATTTGAACGTCGTCATTCTGACCCTCTGATATTTTGGTTTAATAGACAGGTGTTCCTTGTTATGTCTAGGTTAGTCAGTATCAACAGGGTCTTTGATTCTAAAATATATGTCAAAGTGTCATTATGTGTTCAACATTAAGCACCTGTAGATTCTGTAGGTATATAAGCAGCTTAGTCTGCAGCAAAACCAATAAACCAATTGATTACATTAATTAATATACAAACCAAACTACAGCCTTCATTATTGTCTGATCACTACAAGGCAAGAACCCCTGTTACCATGCCAATGGACATTAGACCAGAGGAATGGAGTTTATTTAGTTCAAGTAGGAATAGTATTTAGTAGGAATAAACAGTCCCGTTTCATTCTGATGATTCATCTCGATGGAAGTGGGATGTATAACAGTTGTATAGTACATTCGTCAGATGGTTAATATCTACCCTTTACATTGCCCAATCCCTCTTAAGTGTTTATAACCATTTGCACAATCCTTTTTCTGGTGTTTGTAGTACTTTTATATTTGATATTGTTTCCTTTTTTCTTTTTTTTATATCTATGCTTGCACAAACGCATAACAAAATTCTGAATCATCTGTAGCTTAGTTATATTAGTGTATTTGCACGAATGTGTTATAGTAAACCTTAACAATGACACAATGTACTGTCAAACCAAAAGCCATATCAGTGACTTTATTTCAGTTTATTTCTAAAGAATTGGGATGAACGCTTGTAGTTTAATTATATTAATAAGTGAAAATGTGTTTAACTAAAGCAATTTATGGATGTATTAATAGCATTGGCCAAATTGCAGGCAAAAACTCTGGATGAATGCTTGTATTTTGTTAATGTCAGTGCTTGTGGCCAGAGTTGTCATAGGAAAAGCAAAAGTATGACATGGTCCTCGCCAAATCCTGTTTCAATCAGGAAATTGATAACAGTTAATATACAATACAAATCAGAAAATGCTTTATGCAGTTCCAATTACATCAGTTTAATAATCTCTATAAGCAGATCACTCTGGTACCAAAATCTGAGCCCAGTAATGTTCTGGAAGTTAAGTGTCCACTGTCAGCCAGACATAACCACATGTCTGTAACAGGGGCATGAAGGGAAAGATTTTATTTTTACATTTCTTTACACGGAATACCCAACTTGAGAAATAATCATTAAATGGGCTCTAATTTGGGTTTGGACAAAA